ATTTGATAGCCCTGAGAGGTACATCCACACATTTCACTTCTGATAGTTCCAAATATTTTTTACTGCAAAATTCCCAGGCCATCTTTCTACATAAGTACTGAAAAAGGAACGAGCCCACAAACCCAACAGATGGCAGAGCATATGTAACAAATGATAAAGATTGCTAATGTGTGTCTCCCACACACCTACCTTCCATCCCTAGTTATAACTAAACAAACATAAGACAGATACTATGGATTGACAACATTATCTCTTTGTTCACTACTGTACATTTTAGAGCTGCTAACCAAGAAAGTAAAAGAGAAGGATGGAGAAAGGTTAAGTTAGCTGAAAGAATATGTCTGACTGCACTCCTTATTGCAAAAAGTCTCTTTCTGAAATGGAGCACTAACAGCAACGAGCATTATCAATGTAACATCCAGTAGATAGCTCAGCAAACTAGGCATGAACTGGCAAAGTTCTACTCAGGACTCCATCTCTTAACTCAGGCTCCCTCTGAGTCCCATTACCAGAATCCCTGAGTCAATTACAGGACCAGAAGTAGAGATTTGATCACTTCATTTCAAAGCTACACATTGTCAGTGTCAAAATCAAAACCCCAAATTAAGAGTTGTCACAGTTATCCATCAGTACAGGGTGGTACTGTAGTCAAAACCTATCATAAGGGTTACCTGCTTTAACATCTAAGGGGGAGAACAGTTTCTCCACTCTCAAATGAGTGACAATCTCGTCCTGAACTGTACTTTTTWATTTGCATTTTAGCTTCACTTTTCTTTGTTTTTTTTACCGGGGGAGGGGGGGGGGAGCATGAGAAGACGAAGGTTACCTTCCCCCAAACTGTAGCGTATTCGTACATCCCACGCATACATTGCTTCCTTGTTCTCAAATCCCAGCATCACAACTTGAGAGAGACAGATGATTGCCAGCGTGTGATTCAAGCCCTCATAGGAGAGCCCAGGATCCAAGCCACAGATGTCTTCTAAGGTCATGCTGCTCCTCTCCTTATACCCTTTTGCTCGTTCCGATTTATCCTTGTACACCAGCATGAGCAAACAGTCTAAAAGAAGCAAAACTGTCAGAGATGATGAGGCAGAGCACAGACCATAACAAACTTCTCAGTGCTCTGCTGCAATACAAAGGTGCTTTAGACAACTGCAGGATCAGCTTAATCAAGCCAATGTAAAACTCCRACTCCTTTTCCCAGCCCACCCCCAGGTAGTTTGGAGGCCTTGTTTTCAGGAAGCAAACACTGTAAGCATGTTTCAAGGTYAACCTGCAGGCTCAGAAATAAAGAAACCAATAATAAATCTTCCCTGTTTTACTCAAAGTCCCGTGGCATTTCAGATACTGTCCTGAGTCTGGCAGGGACTGACTTGTTAATTTTGAGCATTGGGAGTTATGCTAGGATAGCTGTTCACATTACAGACTCTAAAGGCCGAGAGTCTATTGTTGTCTGTATTTTCATTAGAACATACTGAACCACAAATGAAATTCTTACAGTAGCTCACAGATTACCCAACCACTAAATGGCGAGCAGACTACACTGCCAGATTGTTACCGTTGGCTCAGGTTTCCCACTTAAATGCTACACAGCAGCCATTGCTAAAAATCATTATGTGCCACACCTTCATTTATTTTTTTTTTTAGTGTTTGCTTGTGTCGCTAGTTGTTTTTAACCCTTTCCCAGAGGTTTTTATTACACAGTAACTATGCACTGGTAGAAAGCAGTTMAAGTGCAATGGCCCCACAGGAAAAGCAACAATTTCATAAGCAAACCCAAAAGACAAGAAAAGGGGAGCAATCTCTACCAACTTTTGCATTTATGACAAAAGCAGCCCTCTTTCCCCCACATTCCTTTCCTACCACACAGGACTCCGTTATACATGAAATTAATGGTCAATATCAAAGCTGAAACATCCACAGCTTACACTGAACTACAAACCACGAAAGAGAAAGACCCCCATGCACATTTCATAAATATGGGGGATGGTGCTCTCAGCCCCAGTGAGGTGCCCTGCAGCTCTCAGCTTGGCAAGGGACTGGCAAATTTCCACACAAATGAAAAATGACTGAAAGACTGAACTGTCTGCTAACTAATGCAGAGCTTTGCATGGATCCTCAATTGTCTTTGTGCACCTGTTAGCAAAAACAGCTGCAGCCAYGGTATTTAAACATTCTGCAATACAGTCGTGTGTCTCAAGAAAGAGYGACTATGGTTTACGAACCAAGAAAAGCAAATCGCCAGGGCTTTTTTTAGTAAATCTGGCTAACTTAGCTAGAATTAAAATAGCATTTTTTGACGAATAAGCTACATTATCAGTCAGGCTCCTTCATCTACCCCCTTCAAACTTGGTTTACTCACATTAGGAACTSAGGCCCATATTCATGSWTCTAGACACCAGCTCTAGGACAAASAGATGCCCTTTCACACAGGAGTTTCACAGATTCAGATGGGATACGGATATTTAAGCCACTAAAAATTACTGTAACCACTCGGCAATATAAGAAGCCTTCAGTCAGCCTTCAGTCTTTTTACTAAAAGCCTAGAAAAGCTGCCATAATCCATTCTGCAGCAATACAGATCCACATTTGCTAAGTGTAGGCAACATTTAGCCCTACAGAGATATACTTTTGGGCCCAAATGTTTTCCCTRTTGGGAATAGATGGGGAAACCTGAAGCCTACTTTTCCCTCTGCAGCACTAAAACATCAGCTCCGTGCAACATTTTCAATTTCCCCTTCAGAAGCATGGAAACGCTCTTATTTTTTTTTTTCTTCCTTAATTCAAAATGTCATTTTATTTTTAAATTGAAGTGATATTTTCTGTCAAAACACWGATCAAAAATAACTACCGAGCTTACAATGCCGGCTTTTTTTTTATTTTTTTTTACAGCCAGCAATCACCCTGAAAAAATAAGTTCCCCCTCCAAAATTAAAAAAAAAAAAAAAAAATTAAAAAGTGCCTTTTGAACGGGCACCAAATCCAGTGGCTGTGCCTTGGAAAGTCACTTTTCCCGTTGTTTTTGGCGAGCGCAGGAGCTCGCCCCGAGGCCGGAACGCGGCGCGGCTTTGGGACGGCCCCGCCGAGGGCGCAGCGGGCACTGACACGCGGGAGCCGGGCAAGCTCCGGGCCCTGAGCCCCGTCCCCACRCCGGGCCCCGCTTACCTGCCACCGGGGAGGGCTTGCGCAGCACCAGCCACCTGCTCTTCCACTGCAACGAGAGGCAAAGGGACAGGGTTAGCCGGGGCCGGGCAGCGGGCAGGGGAGAGCGGGCGCTCTCCCCTCAGAGCAAGGGGGCGGCGGTCGGGGACCCCCGCGGGCCGAAGGGGCGCCGGGAGCGGGGACCTTTTTTCCGTCTCTCAACTTGACGTGACCCTCCACCACCACGGAATCCGTCATCTTCAGTCATGATTCCGGACAGCTGCGCCGGCTCGCTGCGCCCGCCCCGCGCTCCGGCCGCCCGAGGGGTCACTTCCAAAATAGCTTTGTCAGGGCCCCGTGAGGGCGGGCGGGCGCCCAGCGCGGCCCTGCCCGGCCCCCGACCTAACGCCTGCGGAAAGGGGGTCCGCGCACCGCCTCAATAATTCTTTGTTCACCTGTTTTACTTCTGGGTTGGGGGTAGGGGGTTTTTTAATTATTTTGGGGTTTTTTTTGTCCGGGGTTTCACAGCGCGAGGCGCGGGCCGGGACACCCAGAGCGCCGCAGCCCCGCGCGGGCCGCCTCGGCGGATGCGATCYGGGCGCGACCCCCGCCCCGCTCCGACTCTAACTCCGGCTCCGGGCTTTGCGGCCGCCCGCGGGAGCAGCTTGGCCGCTGACCGCAGAGACTGCCCCGCAAAGCCCGGGCGGCCGAAAAGCCCGGACTGGATTACCTTCGCGGAGCGGGTCCCGCCTCTGGCCGGCCGAAACACCCCCTTCCCGCAACCTGCTTGTAATGCCCAATTTTCACTTTTCAAAAGTATAATTACAGCTCTTCTTGGCTCCAAGAAGACTTGGAGCCAACTACCCCCGATAAAAATTCTCACTTTTTTTTTCTTCTTTGCAATGCAACTGTCACGAGATAACAACCCGCTTACGCCAAACCCCGAGCAGCTACAATTAATAGAATAAGATGTGTTAATGATGTCCTCAAATTTATTTCCACGAGCAATGGGCTAATTAGAGTCCATTATTCCAAAAATACTCCTGCTGCATCTTATTTGATGGTAATTAGTTCTTCAGCTTTTTTTAAACAAGACTATGGCATATTTTTTCTTTCAATAGCATAATAGAAAGGGGGGGGGTGTAAGATGTTTGCATTTATTTCTTCCTTTTGAATTGATCAGTTTGCATGGAATAACATACAATTTAATAAAATCATCTTTTAAGTGTGTTTCATAATGAATTAGGAAAGTGGCTTTGCATTCTAATTGAATTTCAATATAGAGTTAGGGAAAAAAATCAGATAAAAATTCACTAGTACATTTGAGTTGGGTTTTCGTTTTAACCAATGCAATAATCACCTAAAGGGGGTGAAAAATATGGAAAATTAGTTTCCAAGGGGTAATGCTGAACAGAAAAGCAGGAGGCAGATGGTGGAGTGMCCCATAGGAATGTGACTGATGTCAGGGGTGTGAGAGGTCAGGCAAGGACATCTTACTTAGCCTGGACATTTCCTTGCCCCTTCTACTCTGCATTTGCGCATACACGATGCTAATCACCATACAGGTGATGCTGAAATTATTTTCATTTAGTTCCACACAGTCAATGAAGTAATAGTGGACAAACAGGCTGCTTTGAAAGCTACATATTAATTTTAGTGCATTCAAAATATTCAAATGACTATCAACTGGAGATTTGTCATTTAGACCTCTGAGGGCAGAAAGCAGACCATTCAAAATATTCTTTTAAACTGTGTTATTGTTTGTACTGGTGGTGTTGAGTACTGATGCAAGCAGCATAGATTTTGAAACAGGACAGCTAAAAAAACTCTACACAAATTGTCAGAAACACCAGTCTAAAACCTTTCTTATCAAACAACCACCTTCCTGAGTGCAAGAGAAGAACAAGACGATAGATACAACACAAAAGTGTGGACAGTGTGGATGGACATTCATTTCAAAGTGAAACTGAAGTCACAGAACAGATACAGATACTCAGAATGGCTTCATCTTTGAGTGGAAACCTGTTCCTGATGCATCCCTACCAAAGAAGAGCAAATCATTCMTTCCTGCTGGTGCAGTACTCATCTTTCAGCAGCAGGTACAGTTGGTCTTGTTACACGGTCACATTCAGTTCAGGGCATTGAGCAAGCCAGACTTGTACTGCAAATGGCCAGAGAGGCAGAGCCAGACAACAARGAATCTTCAGCTTGTTTTGGAATTGAGATCCCAGAGGTGGATTTTCAGTTTTTCAAGCTAGCGTTTAGTGCCTGAAAAAAACAAACTAAAGGCTTTGATCKTAGAACTCACAGTATTCATAGCTGAAAAACAGATCCAGGTGCTTACATCTGTCTACTGGAAATGTGTGTGACACTTGCATGAAACTGGGAGCACCCCCAGCTGAAATTGGTCCTTATGGGGAGATTTTTCGGATGCTTTCCAGCACAAAGAGTTATTTCACCCTTTTACCAGCTCTCAACCTGTACAACAACCWATAGAGGGACTAAAAGATTTTACTGGAACTTTATACTTAACAGACTAAGTCCAAGAAACAGGGGTAAATGTTTTTATTAAACAGTTTACATCATTTACCTAGATTAGCATTGTTGTATATTTGTACTTACACAAATTCAGGTTTTGGTTATTTTTCCCTAAGAAATATTTTTAACTGCAGATATCATTCACCACTACTAAGAAACACGTGAGGACACTGCCARTACTATAAAACAAAACACACATCTGAATATCTAGGCACCACTTTAAAATTCTATTATCTTAAAACACAACTTTTCTTGAAACACTTAAGGAAGTTCATAAAAGTTCACTACAAGAGAAGAAATACCTTTCACATCAACACTTCAAATGTACACATCTGACATGGCTAAAGGCTCCCTGTAATAGAAAAAAAGGAGAATTTTCCATTCTTCTTTGTCAGACTTGTTTTTTGGTTGGATCATTTTCTGCCTGTTTTTGCTAATACAGCCTCTRTGTATTGTAATAATTAATTGATGGTTCCCATAACAATTTCATAGACCATGACAGTAAAGCCTGTGGTTTATGATCACATTTATTATCACYAAATCCCCAAGGAACACGTCAAGCTGCACCCCCAGCCACCCAGTTGAAAAATCTGTTACAAAAAACCTCCTTTCTGAATTATCTAAATAGTTGAACAACYTGTTAGTACAAAATCGAAGACATCTTCAAAACACTGTCAAATTAAAGAAATGTTTAGGGATTTATCATCAAGGTGAAGATTTCCATTGCTATCCTCAGGGCCAAGAGCAGATCACAGTCTGCAAAAGGTCCTGGTTGTATCAACCTAAATCAGCTGCTCCAACTTCCAATATTTTTCAGGAAAAAACTTTGAGCTCTGAGGAGRTGTTGCATCAACCTTGCTGGAAACTTGCACACCAAATTCAGTAGAGMTCAGGCTCATTCCTGATTTTACGTCAGTGGAACACAGAAATATGTTTATATAAAAATATGCTTACGTTTTTGATTGAAACAAAACCTAAACCCTCTGGTTTCTTTCCCCAGAACTGGTTTGTTGCCATTAGCTGAGGGGCAGCTTCACCTACGTTGTTCTATTGGTGCTCTTGAACCTGAGCTCCAAGGGATCATTTCTCAGGGAGAGAGAATTTAATTTTTTGTCTTCCTGTTTATTTTTTTATTTCAAGAATGCAAGGACAATGTTGTTACATGTTGGTTTGGGGTATGACAGCTCTGCCAGAAACCRTAAAAAAATCACTTTTTATGTAATCCACCAAGCAGACAGAGAGTTGTAGATTTTTGTTCAGTCTCTTGGCATGTTTGGGATTTTTTATTAAGACAATAAAGACAGTTGTGTATGCAGAGCAATCCACAGCCCTAGAACTCTGGATCAAGGCAGCTGATGTCAGATGGAGCAAGGCCTGTTTTTGGTAGTCTGGCTTGGAATTGCTAAGAATTACCATGACAGTTTTCATGCCAGCTTACAATAAAATATTTATGCCACTTTAGTAAAACAAAAAGACTCCTGAAACCTGCTTCAAATGTTTAACTATTCATCTAGTTTTTCGGGGGGTTATTTTCTCATTAATCCACTTTACATAGTTTGTCACTCGTGTGTATACTCCAGGTTTGTTGACTCTGCCACAGCCATCTCCCCAGCTGATAATTCCATAGAGGTAAGAGATGTCATCCTTCTCACATGCCAGAGGTCCACCAGAATCTCCCTATATTAAAAGCAAAAGTAAGTAAAGGTTATTTAATTTGATAGAGAGCAGTCAGAAGATCTGTTTGGGAAAATCCTAAAATAAGTTTAAATGGTTGAAATGTATTAAAAAAAAAAAAAAAAAAAAAAAAAAAAAACGGAAACAGCAGCTTACTGAAGCTCATTACAGAAAGCTTTTAGCCATAATTCTAATAATGGTGATTTTTTTTTTAAGTATCAATTAAACAAAAGTATCAAAATACCAGATTTTGCTTAAAAATATTACATTCTTTTAGATTCAGACACACTGAAAAGCATGGATGATTTAGATCATTTTCAATGGAAGAGAGCAAGCCTTAGAGGTTTGGTACTGTTGTAATGCCATCACTGCCTGGAGGGGTTACAGAGGTGCATTTGGAGAGTTTCTCARTGCAGTCTACTGGAATTCTGAGAGAACATGAAAGTTTTCACAAAAAGGTGTTGCATACAGGCACACTTTGTGACTGTGGGATGCTGTAATTTTATGTGGCTTATGGGGTTTTTCATATGTTTGAATTTGCTAATGAGTATTTATAACCATAAACCAAAAAGCAGCCCAAACTACACTACAACARTGTTTAATTTGAAATACTTCTACTTACTTTAAACCTTGAAAACATTCAGGACAGGGTTATTTATTGTTATTATTATTACTRTTATTATTACTGTTACTCTTAGATTGACTTTCTAAAGAAATTAAAATGTTAGAAATGAAAAATATKACTTATTAAATGGTACTGGTGAAAGTAGGCACCACTCCAGTTATTTGAGACCAAGGAGAAATGTATTTTGTCCTATTTCAAAAGAAAAATCATTGAGAGCAAAACACATAGGAAAATTTTCTTTCTACTAGGCTATTTCTGAGATAAGTGAGGGACATCAAATAAAATCTTGCTTATTTGCTTATTTTTCACAACTAGGCTAATTGATTTCAATTTTGGTATCAGTGATTGATTTTTTAAAAATAGTTTCCAAGAAAATATTTGTAAATTTAAAAATAATCAATGAAAACAAATTATCTGTTTGAAGTTTCTTGGTCTTGGAATATTTTTATACATAACAGATAGTTTACAGTTTAATATCCTAAGTGTTAGTAACAAAACCCAGAGGTCAGCTACATCTGTTGTTACATTAAGAGGTCTACAATATTTCTCCTCAGACCACACTACAAGTCTGACAATAGGGAAAAATTAATTACTGAATCACTAATAATGATTTCCTGTCATGAGTACTGTTCTTCAGCAATGTCTGTGACTCTAAATGGCTGTTGCTCAGATTTTGCAATTCTCTCCAGACCACGTCTTTGTGCAGCTCTTTTCTACTTCCTTCCACTTTCTTCCTTCTCCCTCTCATTCCTGGTCTGTTTTTTGCAGGTCAGGGAGAGGGAATCAGCTGTAATTCTGTCTCTTGTATCTGCATTTCCTGGCTAAGGTGAGGGGAGCTGGGTGGGCAGGGGAGTTTCCATCTCTCTGGTTTCTATGAACAGAAAGTTCTGAGCCCTGGCCTTAAGCCACTGCTGGCTGCTGCCATTTCRCTCTTGACACCTTTTTTAGGATAAGTTTATGACCTCTATAGGGCTTCCAGCACATMCTTGATATTCTTTGCTCCACTTATACTGATAATTGTTAGCTATGTGCTGCCTTTTCACGAATTTATGCTAATAGAGCAAAACCCTCCTCCTTCAAAATGAACTGTAGGTAAAATCTGAAGWTTTATGTAAGGAATAATCTGCTCCTGCATTTTAAGAAGGCTCATCTATCACCACAACAACTCTGCATCCTTTTTCAGAGCCAAGGTGTGACATAACTCAAAGCAGCAGGAGCATGAGGTCATTCTGTCATGAAATGAGGTTACATAACACAGTTTGCAGTTGACTGACGTTCTCCACCATTCACTCACATCCACTATAGAAAACTCAGCAGCAGAAAAAGCAGCAGCTCTGGGCTGTGGCCCCACAYAGGTTGGTGCTGTGTCCTGCCAGCACATCTCACAGCTGGGACCATCCCCTGCCATGCATTGCTCAGCAGCAGCCAGAGCCACACACCCTCCAGGGCACAGCCACTGCCCCATGTGAAGGCAGGAGGAACATAATACCCTGGAGCCCTTCTGTAGAGCTTAATTGACATTGAACWTGTTAAAACATAAAGATGGAAGCAGTCACATAAGGTTCTTTTCTTTAGGAGCACTGTAAATTCAAAAATAAGAGTTGTAACACTGCAGCATTTCTGACCAAAATGTATTTCTATCACCTGCCTGGAGATGACACACAGCATTACCTGACAAGCATCAGATTTGCTATCGAAGTAGCCAGCACAGAACATATTTTCTGTGAGTTCTGTTCCATAAATTTCAGGACTTCTGCACTTCTGCTCAGGAATAAGTGGAACCAGTGATTCCTGCAAGACCTCTGAATAGCCAGATATATCTTAAAAAAAATTCACAGAGAGGAAAATAAAGTCATTTTTATAGAATGTCAAGAGCATAATATGAAAATACAAGACACAGTGCAACACATTTAACACAGTCAACTCATAATAAACACATTTAACACTTCTCACATAGTGAACATTTTTWAAAGATAAAAATTGTTATAGTGATAATTTCTGATCCTCCAGTCAGGTTCCAAGTGCCTTTTAAAACAACACTATTGCAGTGTCCAGACACTAACTAACTAAATTAGAGATAAAATGGGTTATCTCATTTTCTAGAGACTCAGGAACAGTATCCCAGCACTCCTGTCCTCACCTCTTTCCAGATGTGATAATAAATCATCCATTTATTGAAGGCTCCATTACTTTTTTTCTAATTTCTTTACACATTTAACCAGCATATCAGCTCATACTGTATCTCTCATGGAAATGGGGCAAMCAGATCCTCAACCCTTCTCACCTACCTACCTATGTCTCTGCTATCTCCACATTGAAGTAGCAAGGTCCAGCATCATAATCCTAAAATCCCTTCTCTGAAAGGATGAGATGGATTTTTTCCACCTTTCTCAAGCTGGGTGTGAGCACTTCTGAGCCCAAAGTCTATTTGGTCCTCTCCTATTGAGGTTTTCAAAGTTTCTTGATGGTGAAGTTAAAAATCCCCTCCATCACTGACTAGTAAATTGACTGTATTTGGTTTGCAGCCTTAGATATCCACCTGGAGCAATCAGGGTGGGATTCACTTTGCTAAAATGCCAGGTGTCAGCCATACAACCAGCTACTTTCTCCCTCCCAGTCCATGGAGATCTCTCCAGGTCATAGCCCCATCCCACCCAAAAACTGGTGCAAACATTTGATCAAGGGAACCACACTCCAAATTCCAAGGACTACAAAAGAAGTTCAGGATGACTATTTCAGATGTAAATGTTGTAAACTCTAAAGGCAGATAAAAAAGAATCCCACCAGAAATCCCTTGCAAAGTATTTTACCAAACTCTCAGTTGCAGAACATATACCAGAGCATTATGTTTTTGTTATCATCTTTTTCTTTTTTCCCACAGACACCAGCTCTCCTTTTACTCACTCTCATGCCTGTGTCCCCATCCAGAAATCTGACATTTCAACTGGTCAGGGAAAACAGTGTTACTTTCTGGCAGGCAGATGGGCTGAACGAACTGGGACTTGACAGCACAACGTTGGCCATTCTTCTTCAGCTTAATCAAAACTGCAGAACAGAAAATACAGGAGGAAGAAAGTGACTGTTCCCTTTCTTTAATGGGATTGGCAGTAATGGGTCTCAGATACAAATTTAATTATCCCCTAAGCCTCTCTTAATTAAGATATTTCAATCAAAGGCAGACAGACTCATCTCAACAGCACCTGATTTCACGGCAAATTGAAGGCTGAAACATTCAGCTACTCCCCTTGTGGGAATATTTATTTTATGCTATGCTCACTGAGCAGATTTTGCTTCACTGCCTCTGTAGAGAAGGGGGAAGATAGAAAATATATGTATCTCCTCCCACCTTATAGTTAAATAACAGTGACATATCCCCAACTTTCAGCTGAAATAAGTGGGATGTGCAAATACTCACAGCTTCTGAAAGCTGGCCACTGGCCTAATTCCAATTCCATGTAAAAAAAATTAATTACTCCAAGAGCTGGTGTATTTCATGTTCTGTTGTCACTGAGTTCAGCAAAATTCAAGATCTTGAAAATTAAGGAATAAAACCTCAGGATATTTCAAAACSAAGCTTCTTGAAGCTACAAAGAATTACATAACCTGCACAACCTTTCCTAAYCTAAGTCAACTTTCCTTTCCTAAGTCATGGGGCTGAAAAGAGTGTTAATACAAAGCTGTGCAGCACCGTGAGACTGATACTGAAAGATTTCAAAAATTGATTCCCCTGTAACMAATCTCTTTCATTTGGCTGTAGAGCAGCAAAGGGGGCTTTGTACTGGGTGGAGCAAGGGCATCATGTTGGTTTGGCCACACCACTCAAAGAGAACAGAGCAGAGGTAATGCAGACACACCCATTAAACTTTCTCTTCAGGTATTTTGGAAGCTCAAGGTTTTGTGAGCACAGCAGTGTGGAAAGCAAGTGATCCCACTGGTCAGTCTTATTTCTTTACWGGCTGCAATTCTTGGCCTTGGTGGAACATGGGAAGAGCATCTCACAGGCTGAGAAACCCACACAAACCTTCCTCCCACACTCAGCAGCTTGCTCTTCCTCACCTTCCTCCTCTTCCCTACCAACTCGGTTTCTGAATCCCTCAAATTTCCTAGAAAACACTCCTGTGGTAGTTTGCTTCCTTTCAAAAAGTGTTCTCAGGAGGAAACAATCATTCTACTGCATCAGTAGAAATCACTGACTGGACAGAAAAAGCCCCTGCATTGTCCTCCCCCCAGCACAGTTTCTGCCTTCTTGTTTGTTTTTGCAGTTGGGCTTGTCTTAGGTACTGCATGTTCAGCTCTTCCTATATCTGGACATGGCACAGTGGTGAGGCATGCCTAATTTCAGAGTAATTTAAAGAGCTGTGAGATCTCAGAGTGTCGTTGGTGGTTTTCACAAGGATATTTCAAAGCAGAGTAATGCCTCAAATCGAGTTCATCTCCTGGAATGCTGTGACAGAGCTCCACCAACACAGAGCCTGAACACTTTTTTKCTATGGAGTAGAAAATACTCACCATCTGGGAGCGAAAAAAAAAGCCAGTACATGCCTGACCTAAAATATTCCCCGTGTCAGGCTATTAAATAGTCTCACAGACAAAGTGCTCACACAGCTTGATGCCCTGGGGTGACGTGACACTTTTCACAAGAGCAGGTAAGAAAATAAGAAGTAAGTTGCTGTTCCATTGTCATTCTGACTAATATTATAAGGTCAATCARAAGGGCATTTAACTTCTATCTCAGTGTAAAAAAAATGATTCTTAGTACCACAGATTTTCAGAGCAGATGGGGTTATTATATTCATCTARTCAGATCCTTTATACAATACAGACAATAGGATTTTACCAAGTAATTCCTGCAACAAGCCTACAGCTTCTGGTTCAGTTGAAAAAATGCCTAATCTCACGAAGACTTGAAGTGATGATGAATCTGCCACACATCTAGGTAAATTGTTCCGAAGGCTAATTATCATAATTATTTAAAATTTTTCAATTTATTTGTTATCTGAATTTGTTTAGCTTTCAGATGCTGTTATAACTCTGGTAGAACTAAGAACCCTCTGYGTTCAAAAGCCTCTCCCAGTATCTATGATTTTTCCACTATAAAKACAATTTTTAACAGACCAACTAAACTTGAAACTAGGTTGAGTAAATGGAAAATAAAACTGTAGGAACAAAAATACTCACCAATATCATGCTCAGTAGGATTGAACACGGAATACTGAGGATGCAAGATGTATTTCTCTATTTCAAATGTCTGTGTTACATCAGTCGTTTTATTAAATATTTGTTGACCCAGAACTACTCTAATAGTGGATTTTAGGGGACTGCAATACAAAAGAGAGAACAAGCAGTTCTGTGATTAGCAGGACAGATGCAGCTGATTTTCCAATGCCTGGGTGTCCTATGCACCATTATAACCTCAGCCTCCCATCACATCCATTGTTTACCCTCTCACAACACCTTTACCTGTTTCCCAGGCTTCCTGCCCAYGGAAGGCAAGGAAAAAGAAAACCAATGCTACAGTGAGGCCTGGGTTCTGTGGGTCCTGATCAGCCTAATTAAAGGCTGCTGCTTCTTGAAAGACGGGCAAGACCAGCACAGGCACTGCTGCCCAGCTCCTGTTTGGCTAACAAGCATCACTGGGAGATGCAAACATCTCTCTGAGAAACTCAACTGAGTCAACTTCAACCAGACTTTGAGTACATAAACTGCTCAGAAAGAAATGAGGGATCAAAAGATGAGTCAATGGTGGATATCTCATTTCTCTGGGAAGCCAGTCTCCTGAAAAAAATTACAGGCATGGGCCAAGATTTCCAAATGCTGGCACATTGAGAATTCAGGAACATCTGGGCAGTTCCACCTAAAGGATATCACCAGTTCTGCTCTGACATTAGATTGATCTGTGTTCAATCTGTTGTCCAGGATCAAAAGTAACCTGATGGAGGTCACAACAGCACATGGATCTAATGGGAAACKCCACTACCAGAGGACAACACAGTATTTGCAATTCACACCATCTTTTCCAACCATCAGGTTTTTTACTTTAAAAAGACCACAGTCATCTCACATCCAGTGTCCTAGGAAAGAAAACTCATAAGAACCAGTTCAGAAGCTGGGAAGTAAGGGACATTTGGGAATAATCAGGAGGTGYTTAGAAAAGGCAATATCCTCTCTAGCTTTGAAAGCAACAGAATTCGCTCTTATTTGAAATTTCACTCTTATTTGAAAACCAATTCAATCTGCTTAAGCCTACAGTGAATTTAGTTGGCTTCAGCATTGGAGCCCTCGCGTTTTGTTATCCAGTGCAGGAGCAGCAAACATCTGCTGTCACACACCATGCACAGGGGCAGAGTGGTTTCCCTGGCTGCATTTCTGAGCCCATCAGAAGCACCGTGGAGCCTCCCCCAGCACTGAGTACACAGCGATGACAGCAGCCATGGGCTCAGAGGAAAGGGATTCTGGCTAATTGAAATGCAGAGAGACAGCAGCAACCTGCCACAAGAACTCTGCCTAAGGTTAACAAAGAAAAGGGCAAAGTTAATCTGTGTTACTGGAACACAAGAAGACAATGAAATGTTCTCTGATCAATATGTAAGGCCATGATTTTCTCAGGTTTTTTKCAGTAGTAAATCAACTTCCTTGAAAATCAAATTTTGGGCCTGTAAAACAGTGRAAGTTCACTTTCTGGAACAGTATTWAGAATAATTTTAGAAGCACTGAATGGTTCTACTATGACTTACAGATGGTTCATTCAGGAAAAGAAGTAAAACAGGAGGGGTTACAGAAAATGAAAAGAAATAATTGAGCTGCACAGGTATCTATTGTCGCCTAGTGGAAAACAGTTGGAATTGTGACTGCCAGAGGTACTAAACAAACAGAAGAGCACAAACTACAATGCAGTAATTATGGAAAATCTGTACGTACAAAACGACCAGCTGGAAGTGGGTGGAAATGTCCTGAACAGCTGCCAAAGTTAGTAGCTATTTCACAACATTTGAAAAACAAATGCATTGTGGCTTAAGCTTCAAATGCTTCAGTACAGCATTCACAGTGGTATTATTAGCTCCACAAGCTATCAGTGTATATATTCTGGCACAAGGTTTTCTGTTTCTCTTGGCTTCTTTACTATGGAAAGGAACAATGGGTATCAAATGATGTCATATTTTTCYCTTCAATGTGATCAAACCGAAATCAGGGAAAGTGTTTAACATTCATAGGARATTAAGTATTTAGACTAAAGTAAGAGCATCCTATAATCAATAGTTTCTCCAGTGTCCCACAGGAGAAAAATAAAAATCYCTCAAGAAAATCAGCTTCAGAAGTTTGACAGTTTGTTTCTTCCATGTGGCTTTTTGTAAAGCTCAGCCCACTCTATTTGTGTCAACCAACGGTAATTTATTGTCTCCAATAAATCATCCGAACAAAACACAGCAGTGAGCACAGYCATCTCTGTTATATCTCAAAATAGGCATAAACATTCAAAAAGGTAACCAGGAAGATGAGAAATGCTTCTATCCCCCTGCAGATTCTTGCACATGCAATGTCCCATTCTATGTGCTGCTTCACCCTCCCTTATTCCTTCAGTCAGGGTATTTAGATTCTTTGAGACTCCTTAAGGAACAAGATAAGGGCTTATGGGATTAGAGCACTCCATTTTTCAGATCATGAAGARCATTCAAATTGCCAGAAATTCCTTTTGACACACTGGTGTTTTTTAACCTCGTCTTTTTTCTTGTTTCAGTTCAGGTTTGTTGTGAGGACCCACTGTCACACTAAGGGGTGAATTTACCTGTTGGCAAAGCAGTGTGCTGCTGACACAACCCAGCAAGTCTGAACCAGGCTTCCACCACAGAAACTCTCTCCAATATATATAGCTGCTGTCCAGGGATGAGATCCAGGCAGAGATGAAGATCCTCCAACAATTCTAGGTCTCACAAAACTCCTTTTTTTATGTCTTCTTCCACATGGTCTTTTGGTACTTACAGGATGATCTACTTTGTCTGGAACTGGTGGCTTCCTTTCCCTTCTTGCTGAGATAAAAAGGGATATGGCATCAGACTACCAGAATCTTTATGTCTTGGGATTAAATACCACGTTTCACACATCTTCAGGATGCAGACCTCTCATTGCTCACAGAGCACCATTCCCTTCTCTGAGCCTGCAATTCCCAGGGTGGTGACAATTTGTACCAAAGCAKCAGTCATTTCTGGCACCTTGGGTGTTCTAGCAGAAAATCTGGGGACATTGGCATGATTGTGACTGAAAAGAGTAGCATGACACTGCTGCTATTTCAGGACAAGAATCACAGATTGTGTCACAACTMCAAAAAATGCAAAAGAAGCCTGCTGTTTACTGGAAACAATAAAATATTCAACACTCCTGGGAACAGTCAAACATTCAAAATTATACAGTGAAAGCTTGTTGAAGCTCAATAAATCTTCATTCATTCATAGCACCGATTTTAAGAGATATTTTAAGGTATTTTTACATACCACAAACTGGAATGTCACAGTACGCCCAAGACAAACTGTTGTCCTTCATGATGTAACACCATGGCTTATCATCATCATCTGGATTCCTAGTTAATTCAGGGGAAGAGGGAATTACAAGCATTAACCACAGTGTTGTTCCAAGCTTCCCAGAAGTTTTCTGCTTTTTCCTCTTGCACGGTGCAGGGGACTGACAGGACTGTCAGATTTTGAGCCATCTSACAAGGTGCTGAAGCACCTGCTAAGCTCTACAAGGTCGAACAGCCTTTGAGTAGAATTTTCATCTTAAAACTAACCAAGGCTAAGATTCTCTAGGACCTGAAATACAGACACAACTGAACACCTGTAAAACTTGCCTACAAGTATTTGGATGCACGATCATGTTCACAGTGTTTAGCTACAGCCCACACTGAAGTGTTTTAACAGATATGAGCTCAGCTATTTTCAGAACTAAATCCCATGGGAGAAATCCTGKTTTAGGTTATTTTTTAGGCAAGGAGATTCCAGCACAGGTAGATTCATAGAAAATCTATAACAAGAATAGCTAGCAAAAACAAATTTGCAAAGCTCAGGTTCACATTCCCTGGAGAGTCTGAGGAAATGAAAGACTACCTCAAGAAAGTATTGTATTCTTCAAAAAGGTTAAAAAAAAAAAAAAAAGAATAATGGAAACCATTTAGCCCTTTGCTACCTTGGTGTTGAATAGACTTTGGATTGATTCCATCAGGGTTTCTCCATGGTAAAGCCTAACTGTCTTCATCAATACCTTACAAGTAACCAGAAATCTGCCCAGTTTACTCCTCCAAAAATATAGGGAGACTTTGAAGACACAAAAGGATCTTTATTAGACCAAGAAAAGTAGACAAGGTAATTCAGAGCTCCAGCAAAGCAGTAATTCTAATTTCAGTTCGATTTATCACAAGCACTATCTGTTATTGTAAGGTTCTTCAATAATTTTTTTCTTTTTCAATCTGACTGCTCTTCAGAAGAAGATTAGAGCACTTTCAAATTCTCAGAACTGAAGAAGCAACACAGGTTGAGTCATCTTCCGCCAACAATGTTTCTAAATTAGACCATTTGAAGAAGAAGATATCTGCAGGATTATATAGTACAGCAGAGATATCCCCAGAAATTGTAACAAGCTGACAAAAAAGTGAAAAGCTTTTTTCTCAGCTCTACAGAACATGAACACATCAGCTCCTACACCATTTTGTTCTCTGCATTTCAAACTGAAAGGGAATATTGGGGATAAATGATGTAAATCAAAGGGCTCCATTTTRTCGAAGCATAAAATATGTGCCAGATAAATTTATGGCATCCGTACTGGGATGCCATAAATCAAATACTGAAGTGTTTGCATGAGGACCAAGCCCTGGAAAGCAAGGTGGGAAGGTTTAAAGGMGTGGGAGGAATTGCTTGTTGTTAGTTTATGTTAGATAAAGAAGAGCTACTGCTTTTTATCATCAAACAAATTAGGAAGTTCAGTATATTCTGATTTTCCTGAAGTACTGGTCTAAGTAATTCATTTACAAAAAAAACACAAACCAAAAAAAAACCTAACCACACACACAAAAATAAGCAATCAAGCAAACAAACAAAATCTTAGTGATCAGCCAGTAATTTATGGAGAATCATCTGCAGCTTGATTGGTTTAGCATTTTCTCATCTCCAGGATGAGAAATGTTCTCTCTAAATAAAAACATTTCCTTTATTTGTGGATATCCATTGAGCTCATGGAGACCYCAGAAACAGAGGGAACATAAGGTGACTGAGAAGAAGGCACAAACCTATATAGCACAAGCTGTTCTCATTATAACTCAACAGAAAACTTCAGCAGAAATGTAGTTTATCACTATGTGGTGCAATCAAAATTGAAACACTGTGAAATCTTGTTTGRCAATAGTTTTCTTATGTAAGAAATCCAAGAAATAAATTTAACATTCCATTTCAATCTTATTTAAATTCAGTGCTTTGATTTTTCATTTTCAAATAACTTTTCTCTTTKGAAAATATTTCTTTTTGATACATCTTTCACAAGCAAAGAAAAAGAAATTAAATTAAGCCATTTCAATTTACTGATTTCAATGCATTGAATGCATAATCATCAATGCAATGACTATCCTTTTGGATAGTCATTGATGAACAATTTCAAAAGTTTTCCACTATGGTTTCATTTGAAAAAAAAAATCATTACCCAGGGGAAAAAATTTGGCCTGGAATTTTAACATTATTTTGTGTCTGAGCTTCTCTCAGCTCTTGATTTAGCCTGTCTACCAAATCTTGTCTTCTGTACAATCCCTCTTGTTAGGCTAAATGCTAAAGTCAGCCTAAATTTTCTGGGACTGGGGTAAATCTGCTTTGAGATTCCTGACTCTTGTTATTTCCACATTTCATCCATCTCTTGATGCACAAACACTGAACAAATAAGAATTTTCCTCACCTGCAATAAGGGAAGGGCCCCAAGCCGAGCTGCACAGCTTTCTCAAGGCTGTCCACRTGAAGCTCTTGGTAAAGCAGGTCTGAGTTCCAAGGCAGGCAGCTGTGTCCAGAAATGGCTGTTTTGGCTGTGCCTCTGTAATCTGTGCCATTGCCAACGTAGCACCGGTGGCTGGGGACTGGCAGAGCAAGAGACTGGTCAGCAATCAATGCTAATTGTATCTTAAATACTCACTTCACAGCTGAGGTCCCAAATGAGGGCCAGAGGACCCCACTGTGTAGTGCCTTTCACCTTTTACAGGACCTGAATGCATCAAATGAGGACTTCTTTTAATAAAGGAAARAATGAACCCAAGAAGTTAAAACCTCTGTTTAAAAATAGTAGTAAGTTAACCTCATTTCACACATGAGCAAGTAACTACTCAGGAGGCAGAATGGCAGAAAATCAGGCCTAAAATTTGTGCTGTGCATGGAAGATTTCACTCAGCAATCTGCAGCAAAGTCAGCAATATGGCTGGGATTYCTCTGGTCTAATTTTAGACACAACTGAGCTCATTGCTGGAGGCTCCCTTTTTAGTTAATTAAGAGAAACAGAGATTTCTAGTGCCAAACTGATCCAGGCTGTTTGAGGTAACATTTTTAAGATGAGGTGGATCCCATGCACTCCTGTTCACATTGACTGAATCTTCATTGAATATATTGGATGCTTAAGGCACCAGCTCAAACAGAGATAAACATGTTGTAAAGTACTGAAAACAATCCTGCCCTGCTAGTGCTTCAAAGGCTGGGTTTTGAAAATTATTATTTTTATGGCCTCATATGTACCCATATATATGTGCTATGGCCATGTGTATTACAAATATGTAGCTACATGTTGCAGATACATCAATTTTACAAAATCCAACTAGTAGGTTGAATTTCCTCATTGAAAACCCATGTCTTTGTCACCTGCACATGGGTTATTTGTTCAGATAGGCCTGGCACATACATATTCTGTGACCTGTATACTCAGCTGCCAAGATCTATCAACAGCACATACCAGCACTATGGCTGAAAAACATATGGGGATGCATTTGTGTACAAATAGCTAGGCTGAGCAGAAAGCCTACACCTCAAAACACAGCTAAGAGTATCCCAAAGGAAACACAAAACCATCTAATGCACAAAGAGGATTAATTGTGAGCGAGCCTCAGAGGGTTTCTTGTCCCAGCCATGTCAACATGGCATGTCCTTTGCATGTCACAAGACTGGTGGAATCTTCTTCTAAACTTATAAACATACTTCAAGATAAAACATCACAGTATTGACCAACTGTTGAAAAACACCCTCTGAGGATGACCCATCCCACTACAGGGTGCAGATTGCCAAAGATCTGTTTCTTTTAACAGAAGAAGGTGACACAAGAAACAGGGCACATAACCAGCACTGAAATAATGAGCCACAGCACTGAACTGCTGCTGTTAATCACCCTGCAAAGTCATCAGGGCAGTGACAGACCTCAAAACCACAAGCAAGCATATGGCATAAATTTGGGAGCTGGAGGTCAAGAAGTTTGTTGGAAGAGCATCATTGTTTGTTAGCACACTAACTCTTAGCAAAATCTACTTTCCAGCTTGGCCAGGCTGACATTTCTGACATGCTGAAACCATATTTTCTCCCACCCAGAACCTGAATCTAATTCTCTTTATTTCAATGACTGTAAATACAATGTTAAATCAAACTCATATTTTGACAACCATAGTCTAAGAACTCACAGAAAATAATTTGTCTATCATTGGCATTGTTAGCAAGAGTAACCATGTCTTGGCAACCCGGCCATTTATTTTCTGAGCAAGCTGCAAGTTACACTGCTTTGTTTTCCTGAAACTTTGTCATGAAAATGCCACCATCATGCTGTATGCTAATTTTTTTTTAATTTATCTAGGGAAGTGCCAGGTGCTGTATTTACTTGTACCATATTTATTGCACTCATAAACAATTTAGAGTTGACTCCTTTTATGAGAATGAAACAAGAGATTCCATTTCAATACAGACCCAGGGCCATATTTTGCAATACCAATGGTGTGGATGTCTTGCAGATGGTGTTTACAAGTTGTGCTTATCCTTGTCAGTCCTAAAATCCAATGTATCTCAATTTCATCAGGTCTGCCAGTCATTGCTAAGGCTGCCAGCATATTTTAACTGGAAGAATTTGGCTCCTTTCTAAATCATCTCTCACATTCTCCTTCTGTAGCTAAAAAGTTTAGATTACAATTTTTACTTGTTGAGGCAAACGATAATATGCCTCAAGGAGTTTTTTGTTTGTTTTTTGTTTTATAAGGAGTATTTTGGATACAGGAGTAACATGAGTTAATTTCATGTCTTGTGGAGAAGTTTCTAAGTCGACACAGTTGTTCCATCAGTAGCTTTCCATAGGTCTGTGCTGCACTCAGAGACCTTCTCCTGACTGCTTGGAGAGGCATGTGCAAAGCTTTATAGGTTTTATCACCTATAATTCAGAACAAACAGTTTTTGAAAAAAAAAACCTCTGCAATTATTGCAGTCGTATAGATATTTTGCCTCTAATTCTCTTTTTTTTTTGAACTGTTACAGCACTGAAAAACTCTCTTTTTTTCCCTCTCTGTCACAAAGTGTGTAGGTGGTTTGCTTTCAGCAGTTCTTAATGGATTGCTCTGACTGGGACTTGTTCAGTCCCAAATTCATRTAGCTTCCACAATGTCTCATAAYTSTGAAACATATTTATTTTCTTATGTRGAGGAAAGTCATGGAGGACATAATCTGTGTTTTTCTTGTTCATTCACTTCACTGTACTGCCAACAACTGACTGCTGACACTGGAACTGGCCTAAATTTTCAGATCATTAAAGTTTTGATGCAAATGCAGTTACAATTTACTCTGCAGTTCTATGCCACTATCACCCCTGATCATTTCTTTTCAGAAAAAAAATAACATTTAAAACTAGAAATAATTTCTTGTTATATTTTGTTTTATAAATCCAAAGTGTTTCGATAACTCATATAAAGCATTCCATTTTTGTTAAGATTTTCTATTTTATCAGCAAGTCACCACAAATCTTTGTCTTTTAATTTTTTCAGAAAAAAACAGATTCAGGTCTTAAAATTAACAGCAACCAGAAAYAGCAGTTATCCAACCAGTTCTAATTGCTAACTTCCTGAAAACATTTCACTAGACTTTTTGTCTCCAGATCTTCTTTCAAGTCCTGTAGTTGCATACCTGAACATTTTCAGGAGTTTCTTATGAAAATCTCTCTGCAAAAAACAAAGCATCTTTCAGATTTTCTTCCTCCCAAAACACCAGCAATTTCCCTGATTTTTTTGGGCTCTGATACACATAAGTTCTTTCATTCTGTTTATAAAAACAGAATGAAAACATTTTTYCCCCMRKKGSCCYWAWT